CCGCCAAGATGGGGGCAGGCGGGACGTCCCTCTGCGGTGCGGGGCCACAGGCGGGTCCATGCCGAGGGGGAGGTCACGGGGACAAAGGGGCACCAGGCCTGGCCAGCGGCTCAGTGGTGAGCGCATCGCCCGCGCACTGCGGGTCCTGTTCCCGTCCTGGTGAGGGGCGATGCCCGGGCTGCAGGCTCATCTCTGCCCCGTCAGGCTCATGTCGGAGGCACCGATCGATGCGTCTCTCGTGTCAGTGTCTCTCTCACTCTCCCTCCTCCTTCCTCCCTCCCTTCCACTCTGAAAACTCATCGGGCGGAGAAACATCCTCGGGCGAGGATCAACCAAAACACACGTTCTGCCCAGACGTGAGGGCTGTAGACGCTGGTCGCTCATGTGGTTTCCATCACGGACGCGCTGGGGACAGGGACAGGGATGGGGCCGGTGCTGGGGCGAGGGGGGAGGGTGGACAGGCCAGAGGGCTCGGGGCCATGAAACTGAGGCCGGGAGCGGGACGGTGAGGCCGGGAGCGGGACGCTGAGGCTGGGTGCGGGATGCTGAGGCCGGGAGAGGGACGCTGAGGCCGGGAGCGGGACGGTGAGGCCTGTGAGCGGGACGGTGAGGCCGGGAGCGGGACGGTGAGGCCTGTGAGCGGGACGCTGAGGCCGGGAGAGGGACGCTGAGGCCGGGAGCGGGACGGTGAGGCCGGGAGCGGGACAGTGAGGCTGGGTGCGGGACGTTACACATCTGTTCAAACAGCCCTGAGGCCGTGAAAGTGGGCTCCAGCTGTAACATGTGTCACAACGCAGGTGATCACAACAGGGCTGTGTCCCCTCCGCCCCTGAGTCCACCTACTGAGGCCATAGGGCCTCTGAGGACGGGCTCTGCAGCTGGCCCCGGGGAGGGCTGGTACCGTAGGACAGACGGGCCCTTCTGTGAGGAGTGAGGACACGGGACGCAGGGCCACGGGGACCAGGAGGAGGCGGTGTCCACACGCCCAGGACAGGGGCCTCGTGACCAGCCTGCAGGACAGGCAGGGACTGTCAGCGGCTGCAGGCGCCCCGGGTGCTCACGCAGACGTGGCACCGGGTCCCGGAGGAGGTCGGGCCCAGATCGCCCCGCTAGGCTGGCTGGCCCCTCGCTCGTTGTCATGCTGAACCCTGCTGCCCCCCCGCCACACGTCCAGCCACGGGCGTGAGTGATGGCAGCGAGAGCCCGCACGGCCACGGCGCCCACGGCGCCCGTCCTCCGGCCAGCAGGGGGAAACACCTCCGGATGCTCAGGGAAACCCGGTGTCCCCTCCCCGGAGCAGAGAGCTCCCGTTGGCGTTGGGATTAATTTCTCAGCTGCTGCCTTTGAGCAGAAACACTTGATGAATCGCTCCTGTGACGGGGGCCGGGCGGGCGAATCCATCCATCCATCTCCCCGCTCAGCGCAGAGCGGCCGCGGCCTCCATCACTGGGACGGGCGTGGGGCCGCATGCGCTCCTGGTGGGCAGACCGCAGTGGAGGGTGCCTCCTGGGACTCCGCTGGACACGCCCAGCCACGCCCTCCTCCCGGGAGGCTGGTCCCACAGCTGTACCCTGGACACCCACCCACCCACGTCCGCTCAGCCCGGCCCTGTCCCCTCCCAGCCCCGGGGGCAGAGGTCTGAACTCAGTGTCAGTGCTGCCCCCTCCCCCGTCAGAGGCCCTCGTGGAGGAATTGCTGTCGGGTGAATAGTGTCCCCAAATCCACGGTCAAAACCCTAGGCCCCCTGAGCCTCAGGCTGCCGTGGGAGGCGGGCCTGGCGTAGTGGACGCTGGGGAGTAGGCTGGGCCTGAGGCGGAGGAGGGGTGCCCGCAGGCCAGGGAAGGTGAGGGCCCGTAGTGCCAGGCCTCCGGCTCCCTCAGCCCCGCCCACCCTCCTGCGCTCTGAGGCCGGTGACCGCTGCCCGGCCGCCCCAGAAAGCTCACTGGCTGGACGCTGGCCACGGGGTCATCTCAGATCCCAGACCCCATGTGGTCGGTCCATCCCGTATAGTCTCTGTCCCGTGTGCTCGGTCTGTCCAATCCCGTATGGACAGTCCATCCCATGTGGTCGGTCCATCCCGTGTGGTCTGTTTAGTCCCTTGTGGTCTGTCCATCCCGTGTGGTTGGTCCATCCCGTGTGGTCGGTCTGTCCCGTGTGGTCAGTCCGTCCCGTGTGGTTGATCCATCCCGTGTGGTCAGTCCATCCCGTGTGGTCTGTTCATCCTGTGTGGTCGGCCATCCCATGTGGTCTGTCCAGTCCCTTGTGGTCTGTCCAGTCCCTTGTGGTCTGTCCATCCCGTGTGGTCGGTCCATCCCGTGTGGTCAGTCCGTCCCGTGTGGTCTGTCCTGTGTGGTCGGTCCGTCCCGTGTGGTCTGTCCATCCTGTGTGGTTTCCATCCCGTGTGGTCTGTCCTGTGTGGTCTGTCCATCCCGTGTGGTCGGTCCATCCCATGTGGTCTGTCCATCCCGTGTGGTCTGTCCATCCCATGTGGTCTGTCTGTCCTGTGTGGTCGGTCCGTCCCGTGTGGTCTGTCTGTCCTGTGTGGTTGGTCCGTCCCATGTGGTCTGTCGTCCTGGTTGGTTGGTCCATCTGTGTGGTATGTCCGGTGTGGTGGGTCCATCCCGTGTGGCCAGTCCGTCCTGTGTGGTTGGTCTGTCCAGTGTGGTCGGTCTGTTCTGTGTGGTCAGCAGGGGCGTCCGTGGGTGGGGTCAGTGCTGGTGAGCAGGAGGCGGGTGAGGGACGCGCAGATGTCATACCTTCACGCTGGTCTCGTCGCTCCTCCCGTTTTGCTCCTCCCGTGGACATGCTGCTGAGCAGTGCCGAGAGGGCGCGGCCGAGCTCCAGGCCTGGGTTTCTCTTTGTCTCCCGGGAGCTCTCTGTCCCGGCACAAGGCGGCGGCCGGGGGCTGGTCGGCGAAGGCCTGTGCGTCCCGTTCCCTCCCGTGGCGGCGCCTGGCGTCCGCCCCCCACCCCTCCCCGCTGCGGGGAAGGGGCGGCCTTTCCTGCCGGCCCCCTCTGCCTCGGGGAGCCCTCTCGGGGGAGAGGCTGTGTCTGCCCCCTGTCGCCGAAGGTGAGCATGCCGGCGTCCGTTCGTCCTTCTGCCTCGTGCTGGCTGTTGGGCCTTCGAGTCGCCCACACTTTAGGGTGCGTCTGTGCCGTGTTCGCCCAGCAGCTGGGACGGACCCGCTCGGAGGGCAGAGCCCGGAACAGACTGCGAGGAGCGCAGGGGCCAGTGCTCGGGGGCTGGAGCCGCATCCACGCCCCAAAGGCGGCAGGTCCAGTGCCCGGCCGGGCGGTGGGTGACCCCGTCGGTGCGGGGGGGGGGGGGTCCTCTCGCTCCCTCCTTCTCCCCACCCCTCCTCTCTCTAACTCAATAGAAACAGCCTCGGGTGAGGGTTTTTTTTAGAAAAGAAGACAAACAACAAACTCCCGTGTATTTAAAGATTTGAGAAGATTTACATAACGAGGACGTGTTTGGATTTGGGTCTGTTAAGTACGTCGAAAATTAAACCAATAAACCAATTACTCCGCTCCAGAGAACACGGAATGTGCGGGAGAGGCCCAGCAACCGTGTGCATCCGTGTCGTTAAGCAGCCATTCACGTCAGGATGTAACCGGAATGTGGGTCCCGTTAGTTAGGACTGTGACGGGAGCGGGGGTGTGTGGAAGGGGAGCAGGTGGTGAAGGAAGAAGGCTGACCTGGTGGCTTGGACCTCCCAGCGGACGCCCGGCGGGCGACGTGGCGGTTGTCACGTGGGGGAGGGGGTGGCATCCAGTGGGCAGAACCCAGGGACCTGCTGGTCGCGTGGCAGCCTGCCCGCTGAGGATCTGAGCACCGCCCTCCCCACAGCGGGGCGTCCCCAGGTGACACCCAAACTCCAGACACCGAGCGGCCACAGGGTTGGGATGGGAGAGGCGGGACTGAGGCGGAGGGCGGCTGCGCAGGGCGGGGCGGGGCGGGGCGGGGCGGGTGGTGGTCCTGCGGGCAGGGGAGCGGGCACTGTCTCTGGACTGTGCGTTCCACGTTCTCAATGAGGGCTCTGCGGGGCAGAGGGCTGCGGGGGCGGGCATCGCGGCTCCGGACGCTCCCGGCCGGGTGGGCACGGCGTGGTTCCTGCCCACGCTGGGACTGTGCCTCGCAGCCGGGCCCAGCAGGGCCTGTGTGGGGCACACGGCGCCCCTGGAAGGATGAGATGCCAGCCTGGGCGCCGAGGAGCCGTGAGCGCCCTATCAGCCCCGGGTTCGTCCCCCACGGCCGTGGGGAGAAGGAGCTGAATGCTCGGTTCGCCCAGCGGCTGGGGAGTCACGCATGGCGCTGCGCGTGCCACCCGCCCCACCACGCGGGGAGGAGCCTGGAGCTGAGCGTCCGTCCTGGGCCTGCCCGTTCCTGTGGCACAGGGTCCCCTTGCCCCTTGCCCGCCCCTCTCGTGGGAGGGTATTTATAAGCATTGAGGCACGCGCCTTGTCACCTGCCCGCCCTGCCACGCGCTCCTGGCACCCAGGCCGTGGTCCTGCAGCCACCACGCCCAGCTCTGGGGGCTCCATGGAGCTTCTTGACTTGGCCAATGAGGAGGAGGACGTCAGGCGGGGTGGCCGCGGGGGCAGTGTGTGTGTGCAGGCCACCGCCCCACACAGCTGGGCAGCCGCCCGTCTGCCCCGGAACCGGGCACACATGTCCTCAGGGGCAGGGAGGCAGCTGGGACGGGGCTCAGTTCCCGTGGCCGGTGCAGGTGGACCTCCGGCCCCGCTTCCCGGGAGGCGGGGGAAGGGGGCGGGGGAGGGGCGTGTCCCCGGGATGCGTGTTCCCAGCCAGGAAGCAGGTGCGCGTCCTGGCTCCTCTGAGCCGCAGCGTCGGCTGCCCCGTGAACACTCGGTGGATCCGAGAGCCCAGTGGGCGCTGCCAGAGGACTCAGCCCGGCTCCGGCCCCCACCGCACCCCCCCTGTGCCCCCGGGAGGGCGCCGCCGGCCTCGGCCGCTCTCTCACAGCCGTGTCCCCGCAGGTGAACAGCGAGAACGTGGTGAAGGTCGGGCACCGGCAGGTGGTGAACATGATCCGCCAGGGAGGGAACCACCTGGTCCTCAAGGTGGTCACGGTCACCAGGAGCCTGGACCCCGATGACACCACCAGGAAGAAAGGTGGGTGCCCCTCCCCCGCCGTAACCCCGAGAGCCGGGCCCCACCTGCTCCGGGAGCCGGCAGAGCGGCCGGGAGCGGAGTTCGGGGGTGACTGGTAAGCTGGCCCGGGCAGTGGTGGCCTGGCTCCTGTCCGACCGACTGGCCACGGGGCCCGCTGGGGTGGCAAAGCTGGCTGCCCCCAGGATCCGGGCGCACCCCCCTCCCGAGGGAGGCGGCAGGGGGAGCCCCAGGCAGGCCCGGTACAGCCCAGGTCGCCGGCAGGGATGGAGCTGGGGACACGCATTGTCCTGCCCGCAGCCCTGCATTCCCTCCCACTGAGAGCCCTCCGCTGGGCAGGGCCCATGCCTCGCAGCAGGGAGGGCTGCCTGGAGGCGGCAGCCTGCAGGGTGAGGGGGTGAGGAGAGCTGTTTGGGGGGCGCCAGGGGCCAGATCCCAGGCTTCCTCAAAAGGAGGCTGGAGGGGCATGGGCACCCTGCGGCCCGTCCCTGCGGAGGGACAGGAGCACCCCAGCCTGTGGAGCATCCCTGGCAGCGGGCGGGGCACACCCGACCCCGTTAGTCACCGGGGGCACAGACCTCCCGGCCCAGCCGGGCGGCTGGGCAGCCGGGCCCCTCCGACAAGCGGACAGGCCCGAGGCCAGGCCTGCTGGGCCAGTGCCGAGGGCGGAGGCGGCCCGCTGACCTCGCGGGGAGTGCGGGGCCGGCAGCCGCCCGGGCTCCGGAGGCGGGGGTGGCGGCCTGGCAGCCGGGCGCTCACGCCGGCGTCTCTCCTGTCCGCCCCCAGCGCCCCCGCCTCCCAAGCGCGCTCCGACCACGGCGCTCACGCTGCGCTCCAAGTCCATGACCTCGGAGCTGGAGGAGCTGGGTAAGAGCCGCCGGCGCCCGCCCCGCCCACGCCCCACGCCGGGGTCCGCATCGCGCCTGCGGCTTCGGGGTGGGCCCCTTGGTTGAGCCTCTTCCTGGTCCATCTAACGTTGTTTTGTTTTGAATTTCTGGGCCTCTCGCCAGTGGATAAAGGTAAGCTGCCCGCCGTGTCCGCACCACCGAAGCCCGCGGCCTCCATGCAGGGCTCCCACCAGCGGCTCCGCCCGGGGCCCTGTGGGAGGCGGTGGGGTGGCCTCCGGGTGCGCTGCCCCCGGGTTAGGGAGCCCCTGGCGCCTGCGTGAACGGCCTCTCGGCCCCATCGGGCGGGAAGTGGCAGAGCAGGTGCCGTGTGCCCAGCGGACCGAGCTGACCGCTGAGACGCGGGTGCCCGGAGCGGGCGCCATGTCCGTCGTGCTGGGGCGTCGCCTCGCGGCCTGGAGACACGTGGCGAGGAGGGACGTGACCCCCAGAGATGGCGGCGGGAGGTGCTCTCTGCGGAGCGGGAAGAGGCGGTGCAGGAGGGGCAGGTCCCTGAGCCAGCAGCCCCGCAGGCCCAGCCCTGGCGGAGGGGGGGGGGCGGGGGTGTCTAAGCTCCAGCCAGCATCTGCCTGGGGATCGCTCCCCCTCGCTCCTGCCTCCCAGGAACTCGTCCTCCGACCTCTCGCCACTGGGAGGGTCTCAGCCACTTTGTCCGTTCCTGGGGGCCCGAGGGGGCAGGTGGACCAGCCGTGCCAGCCTCACCCCTCACACCCCCGAGTGTCCCAGGAAAGAGCGAGTCTGCTGCCACCCATCACCCCAAGCCAGCGCTCCCTGGAGGCCCCTCCCCCACCCTGTCCATCCGGGCAAGACCCCCAGAGACAGCAGCTGTCCCTGCTGGCACCTGGTGGGCGACCGTGCAGTGAGGCCCGTCTCCTCTGACCCAGACGGCTGTGCCGCGCCGTACCTGGGGCCTGTGGGGTCGCCCCCGAGGGAGCCCCCCTTTAAGGGGCCTCTCTCTGCGGGGTCCCGGGTGTGCGGCGTGGTCGGAGTCGCCCCTGCCCGCATGGTCCTGGGGAAGGAGCACTCCGGGTGGGTGAGGGCGGAGGGGCTGGTCCGCCGTGGAGTCTGGGCCCTGAGCCGCTTCGGGTCCTGTCAGCCCGGCCGGTCGGGTTGGGGGTCCCGTGCCCCACGGGACTCACGCCCCCTTTCTGTTTGCAAGCCTCGGTCCGGAAGAAGAAGGGTAAGGGCACGGCCCTGTCTGTTTCCGGCCCCCACCCCCGTGGAAGGACCCTCTGTGGTGGCGTGGCGTTGGCGTGGCGTTGGCGTGGCATTGGCTGGCGTCTCGCGTGTCGGTGGCCTGTGCTGTCTCCCTGTGCCGGCTCCCAGGGGCCTCGTGCTCGGACTGTCCCTCCGTCTGTCCCATCTGCTTCTCTTGTCCTGTCTGTGGTCCCGACGTGTTCCCCGCCCCGAGCTGTCTTCCTCCTCGCGGTGTGAGCCTCGCTCGGCGGTCACCGCGGGCTGCCTGCGGCTCGGAGCAGGCACAGGAGCCCCGGCCCACAGATGGGGCTGAGGCCAGCCTCCGGGCCCTTTGCTCTGGGGGCACTCCCCCAATCCCCCAGGAGCCCCCGCTCCTCAGCGGCCTGCTCTGCAACCACAAGAAACTGTTCTTAAGGGGGGGGGGGGGCGCGGATCAGGGGATCTGGGGGTGTAGGCGGACTCTTCCTGCCCCGTCCCAGGGCTGCATGGGGGGAGGTCGGGCAGCAGCAGACCCCTCCCTGGGCAGCGCCCACCTTTGGAGTGTTCTCACCTGGTTGCCGGAGACAACACCCCAACAATGGAAAGAAGCAGCATCAAGTCAACACGCCTTTCGGGGGCCTGTCTCAGGGCCTCGGCTGAGGCACCAAGTGGGGGGGGACAGCCCAGAGGAGGGCCCTCCTGCCCCTCCAAGGACCCTCCCCTGCAGCCTCCGGGGGGGCTGACCTCTGACCCTCAGCTTCAGAGTCCCGGCTGGGAGGGGTGAGATCTGCTCGCAGGCACCCCCTCTCTGTCAGGGGGTCTGCTCAGGGGCCTGGGCACCGACACATCAGGAAAGCAACCCTCTGTGCAGCCCTGCAGCGCCTCCCACTGAGCAATAGGACCCCGGCTCACTGCCCATCTCCAAACCCTGCGTTGCCACTGCAAGCCCAGGGCTGCGGGCCCCCCCCCCCCCCCACCGTGCTCGCCCGAGGGCAGATGGGACAGAGGGGCCAGGACAGGCGGCCGCAGCCACAGGCCCGGCCTGCAGAGGGCAGGCAGGAGCCGCTGGGGTCGAGAGCTCCCTGCCCTCCTGCCCGGCCGCCGGTCCTCGCACCTGGCCCTCTGCCCGCCCCCGATGCGGCCCGCTGAGCCGGTCTCCCCTGCAGAGGGCCCGCCGGTGGGGCATTGAGGAAGGCAGGACCCGGCATGTGCGAACCAGCCGTGCTGTCCGCCATGTCCGCACCGCTTCCCAGTGTGCGGACCGCCAGGAAGTGTGTGCGTGAACAGCGTGCGTCACGCCTGTCTCCCAGACGCGGGGCTGCGAGCGTGTGCCCGGGGCTGTTTTCAGTCTGGCCGTGGGGTGCGGCTGGGCGTCCCTGGGCGTGGAGTTTGGGGAGAGCTGGGGAGCTGCCCGCTGCGGCCAGAATGAGGCGGGGCCCGGGGGAAACTGGGAGCAAGCTCCTGGCGATGGCCAGGGAAGGGCCGGCCTTCCGGCTCCCCAAGGGTCCCGGGGGCCACGGAGCCACTGTCGTGAGGGGCCCTGAGTGGGCGAGTCCTGCGAGGAAACGGGTTAAATCCAGCCGTGGAGAAGCCTGCCCTGACCTGCAGGGAGGGCTTCATGGAGGAGGTGATGCTGAGGGTGGAGCCAGGCGGTGGGGACCAAGGGGAGGTCTGAGGGAAAAGGGCCGGCAGCAGGTCGGGGGGCCGGGCCGAAGGGTGTGGACAGGCCATAGAGCGGCAGGATAGGGGACTGGCTAGCTGGGGTGTCCCCACCAATTCCCTGAGGGGTGACCGGTGGTGTCCCCACCATCGCGAGGGGAAGCAATGCCCCAGAGAAGGCAGCGGGAGCTGGCTCCCAGCTGCTCCCTGCCCCTCCCACAAGCCTCCCAGGGGGATCCGGCCCCTTCGATGGCCGAGCTTCGTGGGGAGTCACAGGCCCGAGCAGAAGCCCTCGGGCTTGAGAGCAGAGTGATCAGAGAGGTGGGGGGGGGAGGGTGCCGTGCCTCGTGGGGTTCCTACACTGGCTTCCGGCTCCTGACAAGCCCAACAGGCTGCATTTCAGCTTCGTAAACATCTCCATGAGGACCGGTAGCCGCCACACCCCGCTCTCCTCACACTGGGGAGGGGCCCCGCAGCGCAGGCGGGCATCGGAGCCTCCTGTGGCTGCTGCCTCTGCCCGGCCCTCGTGCCCACGCTGCACCAGCATCGGTGCTGCGTGTGAGCGCCCTCGGGGCGCCAGGCTTCGGGGTCTCCCATCTTGTCCGTGTGCCACCCCCGTCCCCTAGGGCTGGGGAGCGGGGTCCTGGCACAGTGCTGGGTGGGAGAATCTCTGTGCCCGCTCCAGGCCGGCCACCGCGGTCTGGAGGCGGAGCAGGCAGTTGCCATGTAAATGGGAGGCTGTGCCTCGGGGCTGCCGCCTCTGACCCTGTGCCCGCTGTTCCCGCTGCAGATAAGCCCGAGGAGATCGTGCCCGCCGCCAAGCCCTCCCGTGCCGCCGACAGCGTGGCCGTGGAGTCCCGCGTGGCCACCATCAAGCAGCGGCCCTCCAGCCGGTGCTTCCCGTCCGTGTCCGACGTGAACGTGAGTGCGGGCTGGCGGCGGGAGTGGGCGGGCCTCGGGAGCACCGGGGGCGGTGGCCATCCTCCCGCGTGGGCCCACGTTCCCGCCCTGGCCAGACCCAGCGCCTGGCCCCGGCCTCAGCTGGACACTCGGGTGGCGGGGAAGTCACGGGACAGGCGCCCTCTGCCCAGCTTCCCTGCACCCCGGGCCGCCGCGGGGGGCGAGGCTGGCCTGGCACCTCTCACCCGTGCCGCCTCCGGTTTGCAGTCCGTGTATGAGCGCCAGGGCATCGCCGTGATGACGCCCACCGTGCCCGGGAGCCCGAAGGGCCCGTTCCTGGGCCTCCCTCGAGGTACGATGCGAAGGCAGAAGTCAATAGGTAAGAAGCGTGGCCCGTCCGCAGAGGGCCCCTGGCTCAGGGCCCCGCCCGGCAGTGCCCTGGCCGCCCGGGCCCCGCCCCCTGGGGTGGCCCCATCCCGCCCTCCGGACGCCGCGTCCAGGAGCTCCTCCAGCTTTGCGCGCCAGGCCGCCTGAGCAGCCGGGGGGCCCGGCGGAGGCAGGACAGGGTCGGAGGGCAGTGGCGTGAGCCTGTGTTGCCGCACCCCTGCCTTCCTGCCAAGACCATGGTTCTCGGGGCGAGCCCCGGACACTCGGAGGGTGGCTGGTCGGGCTGGACCTCTGATCGCCCTGTGCTGTGTGTGTCCGAAACCACTTACTCTCCTGAGCGCCACACGATTCCCACGGACGGTTCCGGGCAGGGCGACCGTGACCCCCTGCGAGCCGGCCCCGCGCTGTCCTCACCCTGCAAACCCCAGAGGCAGGCGCTGCGGCGCCAGGCGGCCGTGTGGGGATGGGCCGCTGCGCATGGCGGCGGCGCGGCCTCCTGTCCGAGCCGGAGGCGCAGCGGCCGCACCTGCGGCTCCTGAGCCCCCACCGGGCTCGGCGCAGAGCAGCCTCAGCCGCAGCCGCCGGTCAGTAACCGCCCTTTCCTCCCGCCAGACAGCAGACTGTTTCTGTCAGGTCAGTGCCCGGCCTCCCGGCACCTGCCGTGCGCCCGGGAGGCGTGTTCCTCGCCGCCGCTCCTCGGGGGGGGGGGGGGGGGGGCGGGCGGGCGGGCGGGCGGGCGGCGGCGGCGGGAGGAGGCCGCAGGCTGGGAGGAGCCGTGGCTTTGGAACACGCCTCACAGGGGAGCCGCCTGGCGCGTGCCTGGCCTTGGCTGTGGGAGTCGTTGTCATTTGAAGTGATCGTCTGTCACCTCCGAACCCTGCTTGCCCCAGTGTGACACACGTGACCTCACCTCTGTCGGCGTCCTTGTGTGCGTGTGGCTCCCGCCTCCTGGAGTGCGTTCTGTTGTCGTTCTTGTAGCTCAGACTGTGGGACACAGGCGAGACACACACACACACACACACACACACACACACACACACACTTGCATGCACACATGCATGTGCACGCTGTCAGGGCCACCCTGCACATCCTGGGTCACTAGCCACGTCAGCCGGGCTCTGGCCCTGGCCGGTCAGGTTGCGGGACCCACGGCGCCCTCAGCCGGGGGCCCAGGGGACCAGCCCCCGCACCCACACATCCCTGCGCCCTCTGAGGCCCGGGAGCCCCAAGGCCCTCAAGCCCTTGAGCAGCCCAGGACACTCCCCGGGCTGCCCACACGGATGGGACGTCCCAGGGCCCCGCAGGGGAGGGGACCACTCACTGCATCTCCGCACGCCCCTCTGCCCTGGTTTCAGACCGGTGGGGAGGCCACCTCAGCCTGAGACCCTGCAGACACCAGGGCCCCGCCATGCTGACACACTGCGTGCAAGGGCTGATGGCCCCGCCCAAGGGGCCCAGGCGCCCGGCTCTGGGCAGAAACAGAACCTCAGCAGCACGCACTCCGCACCCTCCTCCCCCCTCTTACTTCACTTCATTTATTTTATGTTTTTGGCTCGGATGGGCTGTCGCTCAGCATGTGCGCTGTGCTGTGCTGTGCTCTGTGACGTGGGCGGCGTGGCTGCCACGACCCCACTGACCCTGCCTCTCCCGCAGGAATAACGGAGGAGGAGCGGCAGTTCCTGGCTCCTCCGATGCTGAAGTTCACCAGGAGCCTGTCCATGCCGGACACGTCCGAGGACATCCCCCCGCCCCCGCAGTCCGTGCCCCCGTCCCCCCCGCCCCCCTCCCCCACCACCTACAACTGCCCCAAGTCGCCGACGCCCAGGGTCTACGGCACCATCAAGCCCGCCTTCAACCAGAACCCCGCGGCCAAGGCGCCGCCGGCCACGCGCTCGGACACGGTGGCCGCCGTGATGCGGGAGAAGGGGCTGTTCTACCGCCGGGAGCTGGACCGCTACTCGCTGGACTCCGACGACCTCTACGGCCGCACCCCCGCCGCCCAGGCCGGCGCCCGCGGCCGGCGGGGGCAGATGCCCGAGAACCCGTACTCGGAGGTGGGCCGGATCGCCAGCAAGGCGGTGTACGTGCCCGCCAAGCCGGCGCGGCGCAAGGGCACGCTGGTGAAGCAGTCCAACGTGGAGGACAGCCCCGAGAAGACCTGCTCCATCCCCATCCCCACCATCATCGTCAAGGAGCCCTCCACCAGCAGCAGCGGCAAGAGCAGCCAGGGCAGCAGCGTGGAGACCGACCCCCCGGCCCCCGAGCCGCCCGGCCAGCTGCGGCCGGACGACGGGCTGGCCGTCAGCAGCCCCTTCGCGGCCGCCATCGCCGGGGCCGTGCGCGACCGCGAGAAGCGGCTGGAGGCCAGGAGGAACTCGCCCGCCTTCCTGTCCACGGACCTGGGGGACGAGGACGTGGGTCTGGGGCCGCCCACCCCTCGGGCACAGCCCCCCGGGTTCCCCGAGGAGGGCGGTTTTGGCGAGGAGGAGGGCGCCGAGCAGCTGGCCTTGCCCGCCTCGCCGGGGGCAGTGCCCAGGGAGCCGGAGAGCCATTTGGTGGGTGGCGGCGAGGCCAGAGCTCAGGGTGAGGCCGGGAGGCCGCCGAACACGTCCAAAGCCAAGTGTCCCGAGGGCAGCCCCGGGGGGCCCCCCAAGGGCAGCGGCGCCGCGAGCCCCGAGAACTACGTGCACCCGCTCACGGGGCGGCTGCTGGACCCCAGCTCCCCGCTGGCCCTGGCGCTCTCCGCGCGGGACCGAGCCATGAAGGAGGCCCAGCAGGGCCCCAAGGGGGAGGCCCCCAAGGCCGACCTCAACAAACCCCTCTACATCGACACCAAAATGCGGGCCAGCGCAGAGGCGGGCCTGCCCCCGGCCGCCAGGCAGGGCGCGCGCGGGCCGCTGCGGCGCCAGGAGACGGAGAACAAGTACGAGAGCGGCCCGGGCCGCGACCGCAAGGGCATGCTCATCAGCATCGTGGACACGTCCCAGCAGAAGCCGGCCGGCCTGCTCATGGTCCACACGGTGGCCGCCGCCGCGCCGGGCCGCCGCCTGGAGGAGGGCGGCGAGGACGCCGCCGCGGAAGCCGCGCCGGGCCGCCCGCTGCCCGTGGTGCCGGAAGGCGTTCCCGAAACCGAAGGTGCTTTACCGATCGCCGCCGGCCCCGAGCCCGCGGCCACCGCGCCCGGCAGGACCATGGTGGCGGCGGGCTCCCTGGAGGAGGCGGTGATCTTGCCGTTCCGCATCCCGCCCCCGCCGCTGGCCTCCGTGGACCTGGACGAGGACTTGGCCTTCGCCGAGCCATTGCCGCCCCCGCTGGAGTTCGCCAACAGCTTCGACATCCCCGAGGACCGCATGGCCCCCGTGCCCGCCCTCCTGGGCCCGTCCCCGCAGGACAGGAATGGCGCCTCCCCGGCCCCCGCGCCGAGCCCCCGCCTCCCCAACTGCCTGCCGGCCCCGCTCCTGCCGCCCCCCGAGAGCTTCGACACCGTCACGGACTCGGGCATTGAGGAGGCCGACAGCCGCAGCGGCAGCGACCACCCCCTCGAGACCACCAGCACCGTGTCCACCGTGTCCAGCATCTCCACGCTGTCCTCCGAGGGCGGCGAGAGCGTGGACACCTGCACGGTCTACGCCGACGGGCAGGCGTTCGTGCTGGACAAGCCCCCCGTCCCGCCCAAGCCCAAGGTGAAGCCCGGGGCCCACAAAGGCAACGCGCTCCACCAGGACGCGCTGGCGGAAGAGGACGCCAACGGCTTCGTCCCCCCGCCCGCGCCGCCGCCCCCGCCCGGCGGGGCCCAGCTCGGGGCCGGGAAGGGGGTCCAGCCGAGGACCTCCAAGCTGTGGGGCGACGTCTCCGAGGTGAGGAGCCCCATCCTCTCCGGCCCGAAGGCGAACGTGATCAGCGAGTTGAACTCGATCCTGCAGCAAATGAACCGAGAGAAACTGGCCAAGCCGGGCGAGGGCGTGGACGCGCCCACGGGGACCAAGCTGGCCGGCCTCGCTCCCAGGTAAGTCCCACGGCGTTCGGCCGGACGCCACGCCTCATCCAGGCGACGCTGGCCCGCAGCGTGAAGAGGGCTCAGGAAGCCTGCGTGGCCGTCTCTCGTGGCGTGGGCACAGCCCCCCCTCCCGGCAGGAGGGCGCTCCCAGTGCAAAGCCAGCGCCCTGGCTCCCAGCGCCCCACCTGCACCAGGACCACCCGGGCAGCCTGGAGCCTCGAGCAGCCGAGACGGCCCCACTGGGCGGAGGGGTGTCGGGGTGCCAGTGGAATGGGGAGGGGGTGCGGGGCGGGGGCGGTGTGCCTGGTCCTCTCCCTCCTCCCAACGTTCGCCGGCTGAGGGCTGGGGGGGCGGGACCGGGAAGTCAGTGAAAGGTGCCCCATCCCCCTCCCCCCCAGGCCAACCTCATGGAAGCAAAGCGTCCACTTGTCCCAGCAGCCACTCTCAGGTCACAGGGGTCAAGGCTGCTGCCATGGGAACTGGGTGTCGAACAGCTTCCGGGTTGTTCTCAGCGCGCAGTGCCCATCCTCGGTCCTTGGTTCCCGGCCGTCTGCCCGCGGCACGCGGTTCCGCGGTGCCGAGGCGGCGGGGTGTGCGCTCACGCGATGGACAAGTCTCCGCACCCCGTCGGTGGCGTCCCGTGCCCACAGCGAAGGCCAGAGCCGTGAATCGGGGCATTGCGCCACGGCTGGCTCTGGAGGTGCGGGCCTGGGCGGAGGGGAGCAGCTCCTCCATGGCCCCCAGGACTCCGTCGGCAGTGAGAAGCTCGCACACACTGCACCTCCCGGTGCGACACCTGCCCTAACTGCCGCCCAGCAGTGCCCGGGGCGGGGAGCCCTTCCCCCTCTCCGGTGGACTCGGTGGCACACCAACTGCCACGCAACAGGAGTGCGAGCGCACTCGTCCTCCTCACTGTGCACGTGGTTCAGCAACGACAGCGCGGCGTCCAGTTCAGGCGCTTTAGGTGTCCCGCGCGTCCCAGGGCGTCCACCCAGGACTGATCTCCCACACCCGTGCCCCGCAGCGGCCGAGGCCAACGGTCGTGTCGCTTCGAATTCCAGAGAAATCCCCAGGACTGGCTGAAGGACACGGGTCAGCAGGACAGGCGCACGGCCGGCCGGCAGTCTTTGCCACGGGGTCGCACAGAGCACAGGAGACGGCAGACAGCAGGGTGGGCGTGCTCGCACCGCGGCTGTGCCAGCAGGACGCCTGCCGCGCGGGCCGCACTCACATCCGAGAACAGTTCCTTGTTGGCAGTTCCTTGACCGAGGGGCAGGCCAGGCTGCAGGGCCCCCAGCGCACTTACCACCGCCTTCGCTATGCTCCCACAGGGTGGGAGGGGGGCTGGGGCAAGGGATGGGCCACAGGCCACACCCCACTTTTCAGGAGTCACGGTTGGTTCCCACTGCCTCAGGGTTGGGAGCCACAGAAGCCAAGTGGCTTGTCCATGTGCTTAGCCAGCTGGAGGCAGAGCCAGGACTAGGCCAAGGTTCCCTGACGGGCCTTCCCTCATCAGTGACATCTGAATATGCAGATGAGGCTGCCCTTCCTCATTAATGACATTTGAATATGCAGGTGCCAGTGGGTGGCTCCAGGGCTGAGGTCCAGGGCTTCTCCCATCTGCTCCTTCCCCAAGTGGAGGGGGTCCCCGAGCGGCACGGGATTGGGTTCCTGCGTGCGTGACGGCAGCCGGCCCGTCCGGTCTGCTTTCCTGAGAGCAGCTGAGGGCCACCCCGGTCGGTCCTGTGACAAGCAGGCTCTCACGGGAGGAGCAGCACGGGCCTCCAGGCAGGCTCCCTGACGGGCATTGTGCTCCCGGTGCCCGAGCAGGCCGGGCGGTGACTGCAGAGGAGCAGGCCGCAGGCCAGGGCCGAGGCCTCGCTGGTGCTCGGCTGGAAGGACAGCACAGAGCGGGTCGCAGGGCAAATCGCCCAGTGGCCGGGGGCTTCTCTCGTTACCTGGTGGTGATGGGAGGCAAGGCTGGCCCCTCCCACTCCTTCCAGCTCCCAGCGGTGCCCACAACTGGGCCAGGACCAGAGGGCAAGGACCAGGAAGGCCATCGACTCTGGACACGGGCTGCAGCCATCGGCCTGGGACCAGGATCCGCGGGGGCGGAGGCCCCGGGCAAGCGGCCGAGGGGGAGGCAGAGCCCTCACCCTGGAGCGGCATTCCTTTTGCAGATAGGCCGCAACCAACATGCCTGCGCCTCTCCGGGGCCCGGGATCGCCGGCTCCCTGCTTCCGGATGCTTCCAAAGGAAGTGGGGGGACTGGATGGAGGGGCTTCTCTCTGGGGAAGAGTGAGGTTCCCAGGGAAACGACGGAGCAATAGTGCAGCCCCCGTTTCAGTGCGAGGCTTGATGGCGGACGGTGGGCCTTGGAGCGCGCACGGTGGTTTGCTCATGGAGTGGCGGAACCTTGGCCGCGTGGCCCCCGAGGCCTGAAGGAGTGGGCGCGAGGAGCAGGGCGCAGGGCATGGCCGCCTCCCGTGCACAGGGCCCCCTCGGCCTGAGCGGACACTCCCAGGACGGGGAGCCAGGCCTGAGCGCTGGACGCGGACATGGAGGCCGGGACACACTTCGGAGTGGAAGGATGTCGGAGGGGCCGGCGGGCGGCAGCCAGGCGGGGTGAGGGCCTCTCGGCAGCTGTCTGCACTCAGGTCCAGGCCGCCTGGGGTCCAGGCCAGGACCAGGCGGGGAGCCCGCGGCCCCACTTCCACCTCCTGACCCAAACCCACCGGCTGCGGCCGGGGCGCCAGGCACCGTGCAGGAGGGGAGCTGCCTGTGCAGCTGCAGGCGTGGACAGGTCTCCTCTCTGCTGCGTGGGGAGTGTGGGGGTCACAGGCCCTGGAAGCTGGGGTGCTCCTGGCTCCCATCCAGACATGGTGGCGTCTGCTGGCTCCCTCAGGAGCCCTCCAGGTCACCCAGAGCTTTTCGGGGCACCCAGAGGCCACCCGAGACTGGCCTTCGCCTCCTGGGGGCGCAGATGGGCTTGGGGGTAGAGTGGCCACGGGTCCCAGTCCCGCAGGCCGCCCTGGCCCGCTGCCTCCGAGGCCCCGCCCCAGCCGGAGCCGCCAGCTGTGCGCTCCGTGTGCCACCCCAGGGCCTGTTCACGTTAAAATTACCCGGTTTGAGCTTTTTACAAAGTGAGCTCGCCCAGCACACACTCCGGAGCGGCCCCAACGACACGCGCTCCCGGGTATGACTGGAGCCTCAGCGCCACGGGGCTCATCCCCTCGGGCATCGCCTGGAAGGGGAAGTGATGCCGTGGAGGAAACGGTCAGCGGGCCTGGGGCCCGCCTTCCCCGCTCCCCGCGGACAGGCCTCCGGAGGCTCGTCTCGTCCTGAGCGTGTCTCCCTTGACGGCCAGCTACCCGCGGGCTCCTGCCTTCTCTGCCCGAATCTGGGTGGCCAAGGCGCTCGGCAAGGGCCCAGGGTGAGCATCTTCTTGCTCCGCAGGGACCTTGCTCTGCGTAGCCCCGCCCTGGCTCTGGTCAGGGCACAGCCTCCTGACCCGGGATGTGAGCTTCCTTTCCATCCCCCGCTCGGAGGGTGGGCCAGGCCCCTCACGGCCCTCAGAGGCACTGGCACCTGAGAATGGGGGGCTGCGTCAGCACAGACACCCGTGTGGAGCGAGCGAGACGCATGAGACTCGGTGCCCCACCCCTGCTGTCTGGGCAGGGCCCACCCGTGGAGACGCAGTGCGGTTGGGAAACAAGTGCCCTTTGGCCTGGGAGAGGCGACCGCACAGAAGCCCGGCCCAGCTGCCTCCAGGAGGGACAGTGGACAGACTCCATGGAAACGCAGTGGCCTCCGGCCCACACGCGATCCCTGGTGGAGGCGTAAGGGGACCCGTGAGCGCGGGAAAGCCGCGGGAATACTAGCTCCCTGCCCAGCCGCTGGCTGATGGACGGCGGCCTCTGAGTGGACGGCAGCCTCTGAGTGGACGGCGGCCTCTGAGTGGACGGCAGCCTCTGAGTGTCCGTCAGCCAGCGGCTTTCGTTTTAATTCTCGTGTTTCCACTTGGTTTAAGAGGCAGGACAGGGAGGGACCGTCCAAGAGCCAGTGTCTATTCTAAATCGGCAGCGGGGCCGTGCGTTCCTCCCTGGAACCCAGGGGTTGCCTAGCAACAGCATCTCAGCAACCAGAGGATGCTGGAGAACGGGCGCCTTGAACCCGAGTAAACCAAGCGGCTGAGGAGGCCGGCCGGGCAGGTCACGGGGCTCGGCCTCCGCCAGGGAGCGTCTTCCACGGCGAAGCGCCGGGCTGGGCGGCCAGCATCGGGGGCTTTGGTCTTGGGGTGTGGACCCTCCCGCCAGCGTGCTGACCCGCCCTCCCCAGCAGCGCAGCCCCAGGTTCTGAGCGCGTCCGACGGGGCACCCGCTCCAACGGGGCCTCGCATAGCGTTTCCTGGTGGTGCCCGTGCGATCACGTGGTCCGGACCGAGAGGGCAGGTGGGGGGTCCCCGTCGAGGACGGCAGAGGTGCCTCCCTCCTTGGCAGGCGGGGGTGGCATGGACGCTCCGGGCGGCGTGGCGCCCTGCTCCCCTCCACCCTGCAAAGCCGTCTTTTATCGTGATCGATGCTGCGTGTCCTCTCAGCCTCTGCGTTTTGTCGTTTCCATTTGCTCCGTGACGGGCGTTGGCAGAAGAGGGTCGTGCTGAGCGGAAGTAAGTGCTGGTGCCCTCTGTGTGCTGTGCCTCCTGCGTGTGGCGCCCTCTCTGCTCTGACCACTCGGCCCCCGGAGCCTCCGTAAGAAGGTGCCCGGAGAGCCGGGAGCTGCACGGGAACGAGGGTGCCGACGCCATCCATCGGCTCAGGGGCCGCCTGGGTCGGTGCCGCCAGGTTCTGGGCAGCCGCTGTCGCTCTGAGGGTCACCGCACAGCCACCGTGAGGGGGCGCCAGTGTCCCTCCGAGGCCCTGCTCCCAGCGGGGAGCCGGCGTGTCCCCGGCCCCCGGTCTTATCAGCGTGAGCTCACCCGTGTCAGCCTTCCCCCTCGGGTGTCCCGAGCAGAGGACAGGAGGGGAGACCATCGGGAAGGGCGTCCCACTGCACCCCCACCCCGTCTGAGCTGTGGCCCGGCTGGAACCGCAGTGGCCTCGCCCTCCCGGAGCCTTCAGCCTGAGGGCCCCAGGTAGCGGTGGGGCTGCCCCTGCCGGACGAGGGCCAGCCCACCGGGGCCTTCCCTGCTCTGCAGGCCCGTCAGCGGGAGTGAGCATCGGCCCAGGAACCAGGGTCACAGTTTGATTCCGGGTCAGAGCACATGGCTGGTTGCGGGCTTGATCCCCAGCACAGAGTGTGCAGGAGGCAGCTATCACTGGCTCTCATCGTGGCTCGCTCTCTCTCTCTCTCTCTCTCTCTCTCTCTCTCTCCTCCCCTCTCCCCCCCCCCCCTCCTCCTGAGATAAAGAAAAATGTAAAAACGAGAAGGCCTGGCAGGCAGCCGAGAGTGCCCCTCCTGTTTGCTGTGCTGTGGCCGGCGGGTCCCTCAGCGGTGCCCGCAGTCCCGGAGGGCGCTGGCCCTCTGCCCCGCATGCTCACCCAGCGAGACACCTGTCCAGCCCCCGCCTGGGCCTGGGGGTGGGGCTGCCGTGTGGTTGGTGTGTCCTCTGACTCGGCCCCCGCTCTGCCCCCCTGCCCGAGCCCGGCATGGCAAACCCCGGGCTCCCCGGCTCCTGCCAGTGCGGCCGGCTCGGTGCTGTGTTTGCCTGGGTGCCTGCCGCCCTCCGGCCTCTGCTGGCCGTGGGCCTGGCGGTGACGCCCTCTCTCGTTGCCGTTGCAGAAGCCCGGAGGCCATGAGCACCGTCTCAGGGACACGGAGCACGACGGTCACCTTCACCGTCCGCCCCGGGACCTCGCAGCCCATCACCCTGCAGAGCCGGCCCCCCGACTACGACAGCAGGACCTCAGGAACCAGACGTGCCCCGAGCCCCGTGGTCTCGCCCACGGAGATGAGCAGAGACATCCTGCCCGCCCCGCTCCCCGCCGCCGTGGCGTCCCCTTCCCCCACCCTCTCCGAGGTCTTCAGCCTCCCGGGCCAGCCCGCAGCCGGGGACCTGCTCGGCCTGAGCCCCGGCGGGCGCAGCCGGTCGCCGACCCCCTCGGTCCCGCAGCCGCCCCTCTCCGGTAAGCCTTTCACCACGAAGCCCGTGCACCTGTGGACCAAGCCCGACGTGGCCGACTGGCTGGAGAGCCTGAACCTGGGCGAGCACAAGGAGACGTTCCTGGACAACGAGATCGACGGCAGCCACCTGCCCAGCCTGCAGAAGGAGGACCTCATCGACCTGGGCGTGACGCGCGTCGGGCACCGCATGAACATCGAGAGGGCCCTGCGGCAGCTGCTGGACAGATAAGGGCGGCTGCGCGGCCCACGGACTCGTCAGGCGCGGAATGGGCTCCGCGGCGGCTGGGCTCCTGGCGCCAAGCGGGCGGGCGGGCGGGCGGGCCCCGGCGTGCGGGTCTGCTGGGCTGTGTCCACGGGGCTCGGAGGGTTTCTAACCAGAGGGCCGCGCACAGCCGCCCCCGCCGCGCGCGACGGCCTGGCCTGCAGGGCCGAGAGGGCGGCCCGCTGCCCGCGTGCCCCTCCCTCCCGCCTGCGGCTCCCCCCTCCTGCGCTTGGCCCGCCGTGCGGGGCCGGTGGACAGGAGGGGGAGAGAAGCCTCTTCAGCCGCCTCCCCGCCTCCCGCCGTGGGCCAGGGCTCCTGGGCCGAGAGGGCCGGCAGCGGAGGGGACCGGGATCGTGAGCCGTGCTTAGCTTGCTTGTTTTCTTTCCGCAAATCCACTCGCATGATTCCAAAGTGGCCGGACACGTCACGGTGTTAGTCAAAGCACAAAGTCACGATTCCAAGGAGGAGGGCTTTTCACAGAGAGGGTGTGGCATTGGGCCGGGCAGAGCCTGGGCTCCCACTGCGACGTGAGGGAATGTCGGCCACGTGCTGGGCAGGCGGGGCGCCCTCTGTTGGCTGCGGCCTGAGCGGGTGGCACGGCGGGCCTCCCCTTCTCGCGTGTCCAGGACCCCACCAACTTGTCTTAATGGGACCACAGTGTTTGAGAACCGGGGTGTGGCGGGCCTGGGGAGACAGGGTGGGCTGCAGGGTGAGGGTATGAAGCAGGGGTCCAAGAAGCCATCGCCTCCCCGGCCAGGCTGTCATCACCCTGCCTCCCCCGGCGCTCCCTCCCCTGTGCCCACACCTCTGTTTGCCAAGGGAGGTCACCAGTCAGGCTTCCAGCACATCCTCCCCTGTTTGGAAGGAACTCGAATGTCAGCTTTGGGGCTTTTGTTATGATTTCAGAACTAGCCTGGCCCATCTCCAATTACAAAAACACAATTTTCTCTTTCTTTGCGCTCACAACCAGGCGTCTCACTAGGTCTGGCTCAGCTATAGGACGCACACGTAACATTTAGTGGTTTAAATTCTTCACTGCGAGTTTAGTTGTACAGATAGTTCATAAGCACAACCTTCTGGGAAAACCACCGCGGCTGCCTCCGGCGCGGCCTCTGTGCTGGCTCCGTGCTCCAGGTCCGAGAGCCACGTCTGGGACTGTGTGGCCTCGTCACCGGGCACCCTTCTCCACTCCAGCTCCTCCGGACGCATCGGAACCCGCCGGCTGCGCTGCAACTGCGTCATCAAAGGACAGTTATTCAGGTGGTTACGGTTCTCAATGCAGCAGTTTCTCAGCACGCTCACACACGTATGCACACACATACACGTGCACACACCCATTTCCAGCCACAGGCACTGAGCGGGAAGCCGGAGTGGACCCCAAATTGGTGGAACGTCAAGGCTCTTTCCGTCCACGCCCTTTCCATTTCCGTCCAGGATCTATCTCAAGCCAGACGCGGTGGCCGGCGAGGCTGCCATGGTTCTGGAAGCCATTCCCGTCTTCCGTCCGTCGGCTCCCTGCTCCGTGGCTCTGCTTTCCTTTGCGTCTGCGACCCTCTGTGCTCAGTGCCACGGCCAAGGCCAGGCCGGGCGGGAGGAGACCCGACGCGGCAGCCGTGGGTCCCGTCGGTGAGAGCTCTCGGTGCACGCCCCCCAGAAGCCCGGGGAAGAGGCTGAAGAGCCGAGGGAACCGCTCACTGTCGCCCTGTCGTTCTAGCAGAGTGACAGGACCCATCAGGACCTGCGCTGACCCACAAGGGACCCTTCTTGCCAAAATGAACCCACCTCTCGCTCCGCTCCACTCAGTGACCTTGCTCCAGCAATAGCCCCTCGTCCGAGCCGCCGCCCTGTCCACCCGGGCCCGGCGGGGCCAGGCCTGCGCCGCGCGGAACCACGCCCGATGCTCACACAGGACCATGTGGACACTATCCCAGGTTTCAAGATCAACTTTTGTTACATACTGTAATTTAAATAAAGCGCATTTACAAGCCTAGTTTCTGTAATATTGTGTACACAGAACCAAACCTCTCAGATGTAAATTTTGTATCTCCGCCAGCCCCTCCCCAGGGCACCCACACTGTAGTTGATTCACACACCACAGAGGTGACGGGGTGGCTCGGTTTGCCGAACCCTACATATCACGGTGAGCTGTTTGTGGTACTTCCGTCAAAAAACGGTGACTTCCCCGAGTTTCTGAGCGAGCAGGCATTGCCCGGGGGGTCTGGCAAGGACATTCTGTGGAGCCACAAATACTGATCTTTTTTCCCCGTTAACCTTTTGTTTTTTTGTTTTTTAGAGACTACACTTTGTATACTGTGTTCACATTCTCTGTCGCTGTTACTTTTGTGCTTTCATTCTTTTTAGACTTTATTAAAAACAAAGACAGACAAGCCCCTGTCATTTGCACTTTCTCCTGACCCTTCCATCTCTTGTATGGCAACCAAATTCTGTAAAAATAAATATCCTATTGCACTAAGGTCGTGGTTCTGATTGCAAACAGCGGTGACTGAGGTACACGGAGTGGCCAGGCCAGCACCCAGCGCAGGCTCCTGGACTTCACAGCCACTGGCCTCTGACCAGTAAGAGCTCCTTCAGCCAGTCCGCATGCTCCCACTTCCTAACGGGTTCTCTGCGTGCGGGCGGAACCGTGTCTCAGCTCAGAGCCACGCAGGCATCAGCGGGTGCCCGTGGGCACTGCTGTCACGGGTGGCAGGCGCCTGCTTCCTCCGTGTTGGAGGGAAGCAGGGGTGTCGGAGACGAGCCAGGTTTGCACCTGCCCCTGGGGCACGAGCCTCCTGCACCCACAGCTGTCCTCTTGCTGTCCGGCCAGGCGGCTGGCAGAACGGGAGGCCTCTCCAGTTGGCGTCAAGCCGGCCAGGGCTTGGTAAGCGGCGTGCGGAAGGCTGGGGGCAGAGCTGAGGCCGGAGGACGGGGTCCCTCCCACCTCACCAGGCACCTCCTCCCGGCCTCCCCGCAAAGACCCGTCTTGGGTCCCGTTTCTGCTGCTGGGGCGCCTCCGTGTGAGCCCCACTCCTCTGTGCTCAGAGTCCGAGTGCTCCGGCCTGTTGTCAGCCAGCGTCCTCCTGCCTCAGCGCTCCCCCAGGTCACCCCCAGCTTCCCGAGGCCCCCGGCTCGCCCGGGGACAGCACCCAGAGGTCTGGTGAAGAGAAAGGGTTACTGGGGACTCTTCCTTGTACTTGGAGGCATTAGTTAACCAATGAGCCGGCACGGCGTCGATATCGTGTACGCCCAAGGGGCGAGGCTCCCGCGTGGCGAGGTGACCACAGTGGCCGCTGGACACGGCGCTGCCGGGCTGCGGGGAGTCGGGTGACTTCTGAACTCGCCTCTCGGACTCGGCAGCTCTCCCTCCCGTTGTTACTCCCGCTGTCTCAGTGGTTCTGTCTCGTTGTTCCTGTAACATGTTTCTACACGCCTCCGTCTACCGTTCCGTGTTCAGATCCACAGCAGTCACTGTCCACTGCTGCTCCTCGGGATTCTGTGTCAACAGCAGCTCTGAGACTTTAACGTAAGCCTTCGATCAAACGCAGAAACAAACAAACAAAAACAGAAAAAAAAGTGTGTGCCTTCGGTGTTCGGCCCTGCCCTGCGTAAAACCAAGTTGTACCCAAACACTGTGTGTGCCACGGAGGGAGCCGTGCCCTCAACGCACCCACGTGGCCGGTGCAGCGGCCACAGTGCCTTCTCTCGGGACTGGGACGCCGCAGCGCCAAGCGGAAAGCCATTTGAGACGTGACCTGTCCGGTGACCTGGACGTGGCTCTGGAGCCGGGCCCAGCCTCAGGCTGTGGGCCACACAGCCACCTGCGTTAAAAAATAAAAAGAACATTGACATAAGATTGTGTTATCAAGTAGTTTTCCATTAAAAGTGTTGCTACTACCCCGCTCCCAGCGCTTCCACCCCGTTAAAACACAGAGCGTGTTGAGAATTCCCACGGAAAAGAGAGCTCTGAGCCCCAGTCGGGCTTCCCGACCTCGCTTCCTGGTGCTGTGGCGCCACCCAGTGGTCTTTTGGGCCACGCTGATCGAGGCCAGCTGTGCCGATCCTTTTACATTTGGTTAAAAATAAAATGTTTGTTTTTAGTGATTAAAGTCACTCATCCCAGAACTATTTCCATTTTTTAAGTTAAAGAAGTGGCAATGCACAGTGTCTCTTCCTGTGAGGAAAGAAAAATCTACGTAAGCCCGGCCGGTGTGGCTCGGTGGTTGCATATTGACCTATGACCCAGGAGGTCACGGTTCAATTCCCAGTCGGGGCACATGCCCGGGGTTTCGGGCTCCATCCCGGGGTGGGGTGTGCAGGAGGCAGCCGATCTGTGATTCTCATCATTGATGTCACATCTCTCCCTCTCCCTGCCTCTCTGAAATCAATAAAAAGATGTATTTTTGAGGATCTCTC